ACCACATTTCCCGGCAAGCCCCGCGCCGATGTCGCAGCACTTCCGGCCAGCGCCCCACGTTCAGCCCGCGCATCCCAACAAGCCTAGCGCCCCTCGCGACACCGCAGTCAGACGCTGGCCCCAGTGCGCCGCTTTGCCGCGGTCTTGTAACCTTCCGGGTAGTGCAAGGGCTGGGCTCCCCTGGCAGTAAAGCCTTCCGGACCCCAAACCCTCTGGGGCCGCCCTGCCCTGGCTGCTAGGCTCCGCCGCCAGCCGACCCTCAGCGGCCGCTGGCTTGGGGGTCCGGGCATGCCCTGTAGTTGAGTGTGGTTCCCCCGCAACGTCTGCCTCTCCCAGGATCCCAGGTGGAGGGTTTCAGGATGCAGACGGCGCAGCTATCCCCTTTTTGTTTGTTCCTGCAGCCCTGGCCTTCCCAAGTCTCCCCTCACTCCTGGGTGTTCATTCTTGGCTGCTGCGTGGAGCTTCTGTTCTCATTCCTAATTAATAGCAGAGCCCTTGCTTTTTTACCTGCCAAATGAGGATTCAGAAAGCTTCACCTGCTAGGACAGGCGTGGGTCTGTTTCAAAACACACCTACTGCCCTAAGTGAATGCCCTAAGAGTGTCAAGCGTTAATTAAGTCTGGCCTTTGAAGAAGCATTTCCTGCCTCAAGCCCTTTTTGCACGTGTAGTCCCTTTTACTTTTCCTTCAAATCAAGATCCAAAAACACTGGAGAAGCCTTTTTGACCTTGTGGGGAGGAAGGAATCAGTTTCTACCTCCTCTCGGTACTCACAGGAAAAACTTGATTGTTGTTGCTTACTTTCCCTGTGATCTATTTTTTTCCTCTCATCTTGGTGGTCAATTATACTGGAGTCACAGTGATTTGCAAATGTGTGCATTTTAATTTTAAAATAATGTCTAACATGTTGCACTGTCCTCCAGTCCCACTAGAGGATGAAGAGGCCTGGCCTGTCACGCCTCCAGCACCAGCTATCAGTGGCGGCTGAGGCCTTGTGGTGTGAGTATCTTCTGGAGGTAACAAAGGCCTTTCCAGAGAGAGCCAGGCAGCCGAAGGCAAGGACTGGGAGGGCTCCCATTCTGCCTTGGGGAATCCTGGGAGGTTGGAGATTGGCACCTGCCCCCAGGGCTTGGCTTCTGTCCCTGGTGTCCCAATGTGCACACCCAAGTCCACTGCATGTGAGCTCAGGATCCTTTCCCAGTGAGCCAAGACATGTCGCCAGTCCTGCAGGAATGAGAGGAGGAATGATCAGGACAGAAGAGAGCAGGTTCCCCACTCTGGGCACCATAAACAGTTGATTCTTGAAGACAGCAGGGTGTTTGCCCCGTGTCAGTTCTTGGCGCCCAGCAGGGAAGTATGTTTGGGTGGGGTGGGTAGGTTATTGGGTAGAGGCTCTTGGCTGAGGTGGGAAAAGCTCAGAAAAGTCAACAGGAAGGATAGAAAGCACACGTACTTGCTGTGTAGCGTAAACAGCCTTTGGGAAGGCAAGAGGGAAAAACAGAGAAGGCCAGGGAAAGAGAATGTCATTCATAATATTTATTCTTGGTCCTCCAGTGTTTCCAACTGGAGGCCTACCCCTGTGCTGTGGCTCTAGCCCCCCTGTGGCTTTCGGGCTTTTCCCAACCCCTCAGAGTTCTCTGTAAATAATTTGAGCCTCAGGGGGTCTGTCAGCCACCCCAACATCTCTGAGCAGGGTATACCCAGGGGCATCAGTAGCTGTGTCTCCCCATTAGTTTCTGCCAGGATTAGCACAACTTCCATGAGATATCTAGGCCTAGAGATCATCCAAGCAGTGGGCACTGACTTCTCCCCGCAGCACTGGCCCTACCTTGGGGCACACGGCCCTTTCCCTTCTGTCCCCTGTGAGCACATATCACCAGCCTTCTCCCAGACTACAATCCATGCTCCACACCACCCCGTAGCCCTAGAAACTTTAGAATGATGGGAATCCAGAGTGAGGAAAAGAGCAGGCCTTGGAAGATTATGGGGTGGCTGGCTGTTATATCAGTTTCAGCCAATCCTTCCTCCCCCACCCGAGGCGCCCCACACCCACACTCACTCCACCTCCCGCTTCCGGATGGCACGGCCAGAGGCCAGCACCTCAGCCACCTTGGATACGATGGGATCATAGTTCATGCTAGCCACAGCAATCACTTCGTCACCTCTGCAGAGACAAGGTAGCTGAGCCTCAAGACCATCCTTTCTTCAAGACCCTGACAAACTCCTGCCCACCTCAGGCCCAGGGGAAGATCTTGCCTGGGACAACAAAAACACCCTGTGCACCCAGCCCTCTGTTTATCCCAGCACAGGCTTCAGCTGGGTAGGTCAAGCTCTCAGCAGAGTTCTTGTCATCACCAATCTCTACGGATGTGATGTTTGTCATGGTAAAAGCGGGGCATCAACACCCACTTCAAAGAGCTGTTCAGAAGATAACTGTCCCCCTCGACCCTGCGGGTGCCAGTTACTACTGCCACCTCCTCGCTTTCCTGCCAGCTGCTTCCCTTTGCACTTGGCCCACCTTTTGGTAAGGACCTCTCCTCAGGAGCAGAGCTTTTCTGGAATGAGTCTCCCTTCACCAAGGTCCTACCATCCCCCTACCCCACACCCTGTCATTCTCACTTGGTGTAAAAAGCCACAAACTTCAGCTCCTCCAGATCCCCTTGGATGATGACATCGTCGAAGCCTTCTCCGTAGCCTGTGGGCAGGGCAGGTAGGTGACACCCAGATGAGATGCAGAAGGGCTAGACACTTCACAGGCTCCCCATCCTATGCCCTCCTAACTTCTCTCTGGACACTCTCCCTGCTTCCTTAGTTCTTTTAGGTCATCTCTACCGGGACCCTGAATTTGTTCTTAGCCACTTCTTCCCAGTGCAATCACAGCCCCGCCACTGAGGTCCTTCAGGACACCCCACCACCACAACTGAGCCCACCCCAAATGCTCCAGGCCCATTCCCCTACGAGGCTGTGAGTTACCCGCATAGCGCAGGCTCTTTCCAAACATGGCAGTCCACAGGTAGGGCACTGTGTTGATCTCCGCCTCCTGTGCCAGCATGTTCTGGGCTGCAACACGCCCTGTGGGACTCAGACAGTAAGAGCCACAACCCTGGCCCTTGCCACCCCCACTCTGCCTACCTCACTGTTCTAGGGACCTCTGTCAGGTGTAGCTATTCCTGGACTCTGGGAGATCCAGAGGTGCACTGTTGCTCAGCCCACAGCTCATCTGTGGGATCGCTCCTCTGGAAAATCTGAATGATTGTTGGGGTTGGGTGGTGCTCTGCCTCACCATTTTAGCTGTGCACACAGAGAACTAATCTGAGATGTCAGGTCTGAAGAAAAGGAGAATGGGCACAAGGGCCAGGAAAGCAGAAATGACAACCACATGCAGGGCCCCAGGAGAATATCTGGTGGCTTCTCAGTGCCTGTAAGGTCCCACTAGACCCCATAATTGGATATACAGTTAAATCCTTAATCCTACTTGTATGTAACTGAGAAGTAACCTTTGGTTCTTTACAAGCTAGCTGCAACTTTACACTTGGACAGAAATGGACTTGGGCTGAAAATGGTACCAGGAGTGGGATTTCAGACAGCAGTTCTTCACATAATGGCCAAGGCAAAGGAAAGGAAATGTGGTGGTGTGTATGTGTGTGGGGTGGGGGAGTGTCCCAGGCTGGGAGTCTGGTGGTCCTTTCCATGAGGTGCTGAGGTGACTAACTTACTCTCACCTGCTGGTTAGGCGTCTATACCAGGTACAGTGGGTGAGGCCTGGGAAGCTTGTATCTGGCCACCAAATACAGTGATGGAAAGCTGTTTCACAGAGAGCACAGTGTTTCCATTGAGCCCGGGCTAAATGTCTCCAGGGACTGTATGAGGCAAGTGAGTTCACAGAGACAGTCAAGGGGCTCAAGGGAAACAGAAGCACTCCGTGGGAAGTTGGCCTACTAAATCCCACTTCAGGGTGACTGCACAGGCTAATTAGGAGCTTTGAGGAATCTGTCTTGTGGATTTAAAAAAAAAAAAAGAGGTGAGACTAATGGAAAGACAACTGGGATTGGGAGATTGCGCTTGGCTAACAGGGATATCCAGTACATACTAGAGAAAGGTCTCTGTCTCCAGAGATAAGCCAAAGGCCTCATTGTGCACTGGCCTGAACACCTGGATGAGGCTGATCCGACTGCCACTACAGAGCTTTGAATACCTAACATAGCATCCAGGATCCCAGACCCTCTGAGACTTGGCTGAGGAAGGCTGAGACCTAGGATACCCTCCTCTCTGAGCCTGCCTCAGGGCTGGCATACCCTGGGCATGAGCCATCTGCCAGTGTGGGATGTTCACTTTCCGGTTGTTCCTCCAGGCAAGGGGAAAGGTGACAGCATCACCAGCTGCGAACACACCTGGGACATTGGTCTGCATCATCTGTGGGGAGAAGGCCAAGGCTCCATGGATGGAACAGGGAGCTGACCTGGACCTCGAGCCACCTCCAGCCCAGCACCGTGCCTGCCCTACCCAGCCCCACCTTGTTGACAGGAATGAAGCCTCGAGAATCCAGACCAATGCCGCTCTGCCTCAGGAAGCCTGTGGCGGGCACTGCACCTAACGGGACAGAAGCCACCACGTCCACATCCTGGGCGCTTCTTCTCCTGCCTCGGCGCTTTCCACGCCTGCCCCACACTCTTCACCTGCTGTACTTGCTCTACACTGTCCCCAGGCTTCCCACGCTGAGGCCTTCACACATCTTTTTCCCTCTGCCACACCTCCATCAACTCCCACGCCTCTCCTCAAGCCTCAGGTATTGCCTCCTCCAAGAAGAGTTCCAAGAAGCCCCAGGTGGGAGTCATTGTCCTGTGCCTCTCCAACCCCTGTGCAGCCACCTCCTGGCTTTGTCCTAGACCCTCAAACTGCCACTTCAACTGGAGTAGGCACCAACTGTCTGTGTCCTGCAGGCCACTAGTGCCCTAAGCTGGGTACACACTTCCCAATGACCCTGTCAAATGGATATTGCTGGAGCCCCCATTTTATGGATGTGGAGACTGAGACTGGGTGGGGAACGGATTAACCCAAGGCCGCTTGTGAACGCGTGCAGATGCCTCGCCGCGTTCACCCACCCACTCACCAATGCCCACCACGCAGACATCAGCCCGCACAACTTTGCTGCTCTTCAGCACGACCTCCTTCAGCTGTACAGAATGGGTGGGTGATCAGAAGGACCCAGCTCCTGGGCACAAGCCGAGAGCATGGAAAGCGGCAGGGAAGGCGAGCGGCCCACCTTTCCCTCCTGGGCCCGAAGTTCTGACACCTCTGTCTGCATGTAGAACTTCACTCGGTTGTTCTCAAACATCTGTCCAGGCAGGTTGGTGGGTGGGCGGTGGGTAAGGGGCCAGCCAGGGGCGAGGCAGTTCTGAGGAGCGCCAGGGGCGGGAGAGGGCTCACCTTCATGAGAGCGCGGCCCACACGCTCCCCCAGGAATCTCCTGAAGGGTGTCTCTTCCAGCTCCACCACTGACACCGAATGGGCCTTCTCAGTCAGATAGGCGGCCACCTCCATTCCTGGGGCGGTGGGCAAGTGTGGCAAGGCTGACACCCCGCGTCTTCCAGGGCTGGTGACCCTGGGACTTGGCCACAACGGCTCGATCACCAGCCCCACTGCCCCCCTTGCTCACCCAGGAAGCCGGCTCCCACAATGACGGCGTTGCGGCCCCTGGCCAGCCTCACCACTCTGTTGGCATCCTCCGGAGTCCGGATGGTGAACACATTCTCCACTTCTTTACCTTTGCAGCTCAGGGTTTTAGGGCTGAGACAGGGTAGCATCAGAGAGGCCCTCTCATCCTGATGGCCCTCCACCCAATGTCCAGGGAAGGCAGGAGACACCTTCCTACCTGCTCCCAGGGGCCAGCAATAGCTTGCTGTACTCCAGCTTGAAGCCATCCTTGAACACGACCTTCTTGTTTCTCACGTCCACTGTGACCACCTGCAATCCCCATGGGGCAAAGTGTGGGCCTGGGCACCTGCACCTCGACACTCACTTCCAGATCCTGCGATGTGCCCGGAGCCCAGCCGGATTTCCGAGCAGTTCCCGTGGGAGCTTCATTCTTTAAACTTCAGATATCGCCTGCTCCTCAAAGTCCTCTCTATGTGCCCAAATGCCATCAGGCTCTCCTGTCCCAGCCCTGATCAGATTGCCTATCTCCCTACACCCCGGGGCCTGAGTGTATCCACAGCCTGTCAGGAAGAAGGCCCAGTGCTGCCTCTCAGGCACTGGCAGTGGGGTGGAGAGGACAGAGCGCCCACCCACACCGCCAAGGGCCCACGTGGCTTTCCCCTTCGTGGGGCCCATTAACCTTTTCCCTGGCCCGTCTCCCATCCATAACCTCATACCTGAGCCTCAGTGAGCACCTCGATGCCATAGGCCCGGAAGAACTCCTTGGGCCTCAGGGCCAGCTGATCAGACTGTGCATCCAGGGACTGCAGGACACATCCAATTTGAGACAAGGCCATGTGGCCACCGTTCCATTTTACAGAAGAGAACATGGAGCCCAGATAGTGAGCCCAGCCCTGGGTCACTGGGGGCTGGAGGACAGAACTCAACAAACCTGGATCTTTTAGGGGTACCACAGATGGGCCTGATACAAGCAGAAAGGGGAGCTGGTCAGACCTTCCCTCTAAGAGATGATAATCAAGGTTCCAAATGGCTTCACAGGGACCCAGAGGGATCAGGATCCAGGCTCTGTCCTGCACTGTCTGTACCCTGCCAGGTCCCTGCTTGCCTCATCCCCCACCTTGCTAAGCTTTGGCCGGTCATAGGGGAGATGCCGGTCCAGAGTGCACAGGACGATCCGGTCGGAGAAGCCTTCCTGCCGCAGCGTCTCTGCACACACCAGGCCGGCAGCACCTGAAGGGAGGGGTCGTGAGCCAGGGACCGCTCCTCTCCTGCCTCCTAATCCCCACACTGACCCTCAGGACCCCAGCACCAACCTGCACCCACGATGAGCACATTGGTACTGCCACTGTGCCCAGCACTTGGAGAGATACACTTGGCCATCACCTTGGTCCTTCGCTGCAGCTGCAGGGCCTTAGTGGAAGGAGGGTGCTCAGCCATATTCCCACCACGCAGCCCTCCACTCTGCTCCCCAGCACATCCGCCGGGCTCCCGTCCACCACACCAACCTGCCCTCCACCCCTGTACCTGAGCCCTGAACCACCCCTTCACCTGCTTGCTGGCGCGGACGTACACCTTCTCCTTCTCGATCTTCACCTGCAAGGGCAGTGTTGCTCAAGACCAGACTTCGGGCTACTCCAGCCCCTGCCTCTGTATTTCTAGGCTCGAGCTGTACTATACGCTCAGCCCCACCTGGAACTTGTGCAGACTGTCCAGGCCTGGGAAGTCCTCCAGGTCCCCGGTACTGACGTTGAAGCAGGCGCCATGCCAGGGGCAGCGTACCCGGCCTCGGGACAGCACGCCTGGAAGAGGGTGGTGCTAGGCTCCTCCCCGGGGACTTGTGCGTCCCAGCACCTCCTGGTCCTCTGCACAGTCCAGGAGACCCCACTAATACAGGCGGACTCCGGGGTGAGGGACAAGTCAAGTTGACCTGGGGGATGGGAGGTGCCACGGCCCAGCTCTCTCCAGGGGGTCCTGCCCCCACCCCCTGTGCACTCTGACGTCTCACCTTTTACCAGAGGCGCGCCGTAGTGAGGGCACTTGTGGCCCAGGGTGTGAAACTCCCCACCGTCCTTCACCAGCAGCACCTTCCCCCAGCCCAGCTCCACTTCCCGCATCCTGTAGAGCGGCTGCACTCAGAGGTCAAGCGGACGAGCCACCTCTTCCCCGAGTCCAGCCCTCTGAAGAGCAGGCCAGAGGCCACAAAGGCCGTGAGCCCTTGGCCACCCCGAGCCCCTTTCAGACCCCCTGCCTGGTTCACCTCTTCCTCCACGGCCTCTGCTCCCCCCACCCTCTGACCCTCCCTCCCAGCCCAGAACCCACTGGCCATTCTCTAGGTCCTTGACGTGGCAGACGGCAGCCTCCACGCAGTCCTGAGGGACAGGGTAGGAGTGGGGGGCTGGCAGGCGCTCCTCGGCGTGGAAGTGACAGGCTGTGCCGTTGCCTTGGTAGGCGCGGGGGCTGCCCTTCCCACTGGCAGACAGCTCATCCTTGCCCCGCTCCTTCTCCGGCAGCACGACCTCAATCTTGAGCTCCACTGTGGGCAGGACCATGGCATGAGCCCCCAGCTTGGCCCACCTCCTCACCTCCACAAGCTGGGGGCAGAGGCCATTCCCCTTTGAGTGCTAGGATGCTCAGCCCTGCCCACCACCTCCCCGGAAAGCCCTCTACAAAGAGGCAGAAGATGCTCCCCAGTGGTGTATGCTTATAATCCCAGCGCTACGGGAGGCTGACGCAGTATGATTGCAAGTTCAAGTCCAGCCCGGGCAACTTAGCCGGACCCTGTCTCAAAATGATAAAGAAAAAGTGCTGGAGTATAGCTCAGTACGAAGGCCCTGGGTTCAATCTCCGGTGTCAAAACCAAAAACAACATGAAAAACATGCACACGGGGCTGTTATGTAGCGCAGTGGCAGGACAGTTGCCTAGCATGTGCAAGGCCCTGGGTTGGGGGTGACACACCATAATGTCACTTCTTCAAATAGCTATTCTTGAAAGGCATGGTAGCGAACATGATCCTACTACTTGGGAGGCTGAGACAGGAGGATCGCTGCAAGTTTGAGGCCAGCCTGGGCTACAGAGAGAGACCCTGTCTCGAAGTACCTCACTCCCCACAGAAAGATAGCTATTCTCACTACTTTGAGATTCATTATTTACTGAACCTTGGATGTTTTCGGTGTCTTCATGTACAGGTGTCTGAGGCCCTGTGAATGAAACCCATCCTGGGGGACCATGTGGACAGCAAAAAGGTGCAGGGCCCCCACAGTCTGTAGTGGAAGCTGGCATTTTGTCTTCCCTTCCCTCTCCTCCTCTCCTCCCCTTCCCCCTCCTCCCTGAAGTATTGGCGACTGAGCTAGAGCCTCCTCGCTGAGCTCCGTCTGCAGCACGCCCCCATGCGCACGCTTTTCAAAGACAAGGTCTCACTAAATTGCCCCCTGGGCTTGAACTTGCAATTCCCCCGCCTCAGCCTCCCAGAGTTCTGGAATCGGAGGCTTGTACCAGTCTGCTTGGCTTGTCACTTTCTTTATGCTTTTCCACACTTTCCACATTCCCTATGATGTGCCTGGGGTATTTTCCTAATTAGAAGGGAACAATAAGCAGAATTTTTAGCAGTAATAATCCGGCCTCCCCAGGGGCAGAGAAGAGGGGGTGGCTAAGCCCGACACAGTATGGGCCCATGTGGGGGAAAGGGGGCGCCTCTTTGGTTCCCAAGGCATAGGAACCTCCAGGCCTTCACTGACTTCACCTCTTAGCCCCTCTCCCTCAGACCAGATAATCTAGAAACAAAGAGCCCAAGAACCAGCGTGGCTGCTGAGTCACACCTCCCGGCCTCTGCTGTGCGGTCTGCTTGGCCTGGGTTGCCATCCTTCAGGACCCGAGGTTCTGCTGACTGCTATCCATCCTCCCATACACTGTCCTGCTGTTTCCTCTCCTGGCTGCGGGGCCCCTGCATGTCCCTCTTCTCATGCTGAGCTACTCCCCAACTCTGGCCAGACCCCTCCCGATCCGTGTGTGTCAGTCTCTAGCTCAGGGAGGGTGTCCCGTCCAGTAGGAGCTTTCCCTCCATTTTCCATACTTTATGTAATAGTGTTAGAATGTTTTTGGAAGAATTAAAAAGGAAAATACTTCGGACTCAGCTGACATCGGCAGTGAGCACTGTAGGGGCCCACAGAGCAGCCTGGCAGGGTACCAGATGACGGCCAAGTCGAGATGTTTTCATCCACCTCCTCCTTCCAAAAGGTTCCAAGGTGCAGTAATGAGTCTAACAGAAAGCCATTGAGCCAGGAGCAGGAGCAGAAAGGTGGATGGAAGGGAGGGGGCTTTTGCTTGTCCACAAACCAGATCAACCCCAACTCCTTGATTCCCAGCTGCTCATGAGACCCTACGTTAGCCCCTATGGGACTCCAGATGCCTTAGTCAAAAAATGGAGAAAACTTGCCTCGCAAGCACAAGGTCCCAAGTTCAATCTCCAGTACCAAAAAAAAAAAAAAGAGAGAGAGAGAGCAGACTGAGGGCACAGCGCAGTGCTAGGGGATGTGTATAGCATGCACAATACCTTGGGTTCATTCCCAGAACTTGTTCTCCCCAAACCCTCGCAAAAAGGAACTGTGTCTAACTGGTGCTAATGAATGTTAAAGGAGACGATAGATCACCCAGAGTAGAGGCTCAGTAGGTGGAATTGGGTGGCAGTGTTTTCTGGGTCATTTGTTAGTTTTTGGTCCTGGGAATTGAACCCAGGGCCTCTCACACACTGAGCACATGCTCTACTGATAAGCCACACACCCAACCTGGTAGTAATGTTTTTTATCAATTAGCTGTGAGCTTCCTGGCAGCCACTAATCAAAGAGGGAAAGCCATTGGGCAACACACACACACACACACACACACACACACACACACGCCCTACTGCTGGTACTGGAGATTGAACCCAGGGCCTTTGCACTCAGCTACATCTCTTTTTTTTAAATTTTATTTTGGTACCAGGGTTCGAACTCAGGACCTTGCGCTTGCAAGGCAGGCAGCGGAACCTCTGAGCTAAATCCCCAGCCCTTTTTTATTTTATATTTTGAGACAGGATCTTACTAAGTCACTAAGTTGACCAGACCTCAAACTTGCAATTTTCCTGCCTCAGCCTCCCAGAGTGCTGGTATTACTGGTCATCACACCATTTTATACATGAAAACATGGAGGTTTAGAGAGGTGTGATCCCCTGCCTTAGGCCATACAGCCAGGAAAGAGTAGAGCTGGATTCGTGTTCAAGAGCCCAAGTTCTTAGCACTGACTTTTTTGTGATAAGAATGGCTGACCCCATACCAGAAGTCCCTGGGGCTGGGGGTTCCAAGGCAAATCAGTCTTTTGGGCCCTTTAAAAGAACCAGCACCTGGCATTTCTGCCCGCTCAGCAGTCCCACAGACACCCAGTATGGGGCTAGCTGGCACCCTCCTGTCCACTTCTGAGGGGCGAAGGCTAGGGCCAAAACAGACACCCTTTGACCAATCCATACTTTGAAGCAACTCAGACCTGGGTGCCCATGGCACAGCCATGGGGGGAGGGAGTGCAGATTCTGTGGCAAGTGCAGCGGATCCCTTGCCGGAGGGGGCATCACAGCTCTCCTCCCTCCCCTCAGGCTCAGGAAAAGGAGAAAAGGTTTACAAGTTCCAATTTCATGGAGCCAATGGGTATCAGGTAAAGGGAGCTGGGGCAAACTGGCCAGGCCAAGGTGGCCCGGGCGGGCGTGAGTGGAGCACGGGCTAGTTTGTGCAGGCCTCTGCAGGCCTCAGTTTCTCCATCTGTAATGTGGCTGTACACCTCCCCTTCCTAGGTAATACGAGGAGCGAAGCGGGAAAGTGGGAGCCAGAGGGAGAGCCCCATAGACACAATTCTCCACTGGAAAGCAAAGCTGAATTCTCCTAGCATCTTGGAATGTTCCTAGTGGCTGGGGCCACTTGGGCGAGGCAGAGTACAGATTTCCTGTGTAAAACCAGGAGCATGCTCAGAGAGGCCAAGGTGTCGGCCTAAAATCATGCAGCAAGTCAGAAGAGGTGAAGAAGGCAGGGACCTCCCCACTGAGCTATCCCAGCAACTCTGACAGGCCAGGCTAGGCAGGCTCATCCTGCAGAGAGAGAAACTGAGGCTCAGAGAGGTCCCACAACAGCTGGAGGTACCCCTAGAGCGCCCTTCCATCCCTAGGGGACACAGCCCTTCCCCCCAGCCGTGCAACAGGAGAAACCCTCTCCTTCTTGTCCCAAGAAGGATCCAGACGTTATTCCCACTACCAGCACCCGCACCTTCAAATAAAGAGGGGCACCCACTGGGAGGGGACCGGGAGGATTCTCCAGGTCCTCCTACCCTCCTCTGGCCAGCAGCGCATTAACATTCCGGGCTCCTGTCTAGCCTGACCTACTTCAGAGGCTGGCAGAATGCAGAGGGGTGGAGAGGAAGGCGGCGGAGGAGGGAGGCTGAGAGCGAGGGCAGAGGCGGTAAGAGAGGAGGAGGTACCTGGCTTGGGCTTGGAGAAGCAGCCCCCCATGGCGAGCGTCCCGAGGACTGGCAGGCAAACAGAACACAGATGCTTGGGCTGTCGGAGGTCTAGGGTGCCCCCCACGGGGCTGGATCCCCTTCAACCCTTAGAGATGCTGGCGCGGCCATCCCAGCTGCTGCTGCCTCTAGGACCTACAGGGGAGACTGGGAGCATCGGGACGGGGCTTTGAAGGAGTTTGCAGGTAGAAACGCTGAGAGGCAGAGATAGGCTGTGGGGGTCTCTGGAAAAAAACTGCCGCATGCAGAGGACCCTGGAAAGTGCCTCATCTTTGCGGCTGTCCTGGCTCAGGCCCCCAGACCCCTTCTTACCTTTGCGTGGGCTAAGGGGATCCCAGTGCTGACCACCTCTGTCCATTCCCGTGGCTGCCTTACCCTAGTCCTCCCTGAGTTCTGCTACTCCCTCAAGTCCCTAGCCCTGTACTCTCCCTCTCCCAACCCCACAGCCTGGGAGTGAGCTCTGAGTCCCTCCATTTTTCTCAGGAGGCCACTGTGCTTGGGTTAAAACCCGGGTCACTTTGGGCAAGCCCGAGCCTGCCTGCTCCTTGGGTTTCTCTTTCCTACAATGGGTGGGACATGGGGTTCTCCCTGGCCTCAGCCTCCACCCTGACTGATGGCCCCTGGACACCCACCTCCTCTGAGGACAGCTACTGCTCCTTGCTCACAGCCCAGCAGTGGACAGAGGCTGCCTGGCCTTGGAGGCAGGGCAGGGAGGCAGGGGTCCAGGAGGCGGCCCAGCCTCTGCCCCTCCTCCTAGTGCAAGCTGCAGCAACAGCGAGGGGTTGGGGGTGGGGTGTGTGGGGCTAGGCCAGTCCAACAGTCCCCAGGGAAACTCAGCTCCTTGGTGAACAAGAGCGGGCGGCCAGCCCAAGGCTGATGGGGTTGGGGGAGAGAGAAACCAGGCACACAGCCTTGTCACAGCCTGGCCCAGCAGCCATACCCCGACCTCCCACCCTGGCCCGGTGGTGCGGAGGTCAAGCAGACAGAACAACTGAGGGGCCGAGGTCTCACCAAGTCAGGCAGCAGATGGGGGTATCCATATGACCTCCCACACTGCGCTTTAGTTCTCGGATGGGCATGGCCCTGGTGTCTCAAGGCCACAGGGTGGGCCTTCTGGGAGATGCAGCTTACAGGTGGACTTTGGAAGGCCTTGGACAAAAGTGTAGCTACTTTGTTTACAACTGATCCCCACTGGCATCTGCCTGTTTCCCCTGGACTTTCTTCCTAAAGTCTAATTGGAGATGGGGCTGAGGCCCATTTGCTTCAGCCCAGATCCCAGGAAGGGCTGGGGAAAGGTGCCGAAGTGTCAGGGGACAAGGAGGGAAGGCAGAAGTTGGGAAGGCCCACCCATTGGCTGGCCCCTGATCTTACCTGCCCAAGAGGCACTCATTACAGGTGAGCAGGCACCTCTGCCGGGACTCACCACCAAGGCGTGTCTGTAAAACTCAGTGGCCACCTATCCCCTCTGCGGGCACTAGGGAGCCCCTACCAGGTCCTGGCTTCACCCAGTCCCCTTCCTGCCTGGCCTCAGGGCTCCCCTGCTGGGCCACAGACCCTAGCCTAGAAACGCATCTGTCATATAGACCCGAACTCCCACTTCCTCACCTTCCCAGCTGCCCAGGAGAGGAAGGAGATTTGGGAGGACTGCTCCTTCTACCTAGAGTGTGCCAGGGCAATTTCGGGCTCATCCCACCCCACCCTCAAAAAGGTCTTTCCCAAACACTGCGGGAGGGGCCCTCCGGTCTTTTGCAGAGCGGGGTCTCTTGCTTTCAAGTGGCCCCCTATTGAAAAGTTCTAACAGTGCTCAATGCTAACGACCAGCTGGGGGCCAGTGTCCTCTCCCAGGGACCCCAGCAATCCGAGAGACAGGCTCTGAATTATTCCCACTGCACAAGAGATACGGCCACTTTTCTTCCAGGACTCCCAGAGCCCCAGGAACTGGCCCCTGCCCAGCCAGTTGCCCCCTCCCTGGTCCCATTTTTCACCCTGGGGGCTCCTCTTCCCCCTGGGCCCTCGGTGGCTTCAAGGTAATCTGAGGATGGCGTCTGAGCGCCCCTGCCTGAAATGCAAGTTTTGGGGGGCTGCGCTGCCACCCCACCCTCAGAGCTCCGGCGCCAGCCTCTGTCCACCTTCCCGGCCTTGGTACGTGTGGCTCCCCGGGTCAGGGAACCGGCTACATCCCGGTACCCCCGCCGGACCTGGACGGGCAGCAGGAGGGCTCCGTGGGGACCCGGGCGGAAGGGCCAGCGGGCCGGGTCTGGAAGGAGGGGTGTCCCAACCCCCCGCGGGTCTCTCTGGCCACGGGCTGACGGCCTCGGTCCCCC